TTTTGATATGATTATTCCAGTAAACGATTTGTTAGCATTTCAGGCGTTCGATGATTATCCCAAATCATTTGGTGAAATCATTTTGAAATATTATGTTTTCAGGGATACTTTGGTATTTTGTCAGGTTGACCCGTTAAGAGTTGCTGATTTACAAAATTACGTTTATGAAAAGATAACTGATGAAAATTATGAAAAGATTATGAATCATGTTTATAAATATGATCGCAAATTCCAACAAATCGGACTTCCTGCAAAATTAATTACAGGCTTAGCCGCTACATCTGCTGACGCAACAGTTGAAGATGTTATTATTTCATGCACAAAGATGGAAGTTTTAGAGGATAAATGCATTACACCAGGATATGGTTTAATTGAAGAATCAGTTAAAGCAATACCGCGTTTATTCAGTAAGGAAGATCCATTCATGATTCCAGCTCAACATATTGACGTTCGTTCACTAAATGGAGGTTGCATCACTCCTGAAGGTATCAGTTCTGATTTCTCATACGCTCTTCATAATGTTACAGATGTTGTGTTAACATTTCCGAAGAATGCAATGCAAAGAACAGTTTTAGAAAATCCAATGCTTCGAGGTCTTCAGGTCACTATAGATTCCAGAAACTTCCCCGATCAAGCGATGACCACAGTGGGTGACATATTCTTTACACGTATGCTTCAAGCTTCTGATTTAGATGGAGTGAATGAATGCACAGAAGAATACGAGGACTCATTAACTAGACCACTAAATGCAGATGATGGCACACCATTAGCTAGAACATGGAAAGACCAAACTTCATTCTTATGCACTATTCCAGTTCAACGTGATGGAGCGGGTATATTCTTTGATGGATTAGAAACTTTCAACTCACAAGTTACAGTACAAGTGAAAGCTTATCCAATCATTCAGGGTGTAAATGACACTTACTGTTCAAAGGTGACAAATCCTCCTCAGGTTTGGTTTACTAGGACAACATATTGGACATGGACACGGATGAAGTTTGAAATATCATCCAACAGGTACACCACCACAGTATAGAAGTTCATATGATGAAATATTGATGAATAGAAATGTTTAAAATTATAAATTTATTTTTGATTAAATGGATTTAAATTCTGAAGAATTAGCAGGAGTATATAATACATACATAGATGATATGATTAATGATGCATTGAGTGATAATAAAAATGCTCTATCTAAGGAAAAATTAATGAAAATTCCATATTCTGAATGTTACTTAAATTCAATCACTGCAGCAATTGGTAAACAAAATAAAGGTAAAACATTAACGATATTAAAAAAATTATCATTATTGCTAACACTTCACACCCATTCACATGTGTTTTAATTTATATCAACCGTTCAGTTCACCTTCAGATGATTACATTTGAATCTTTAAAGCATTTAATCAAAATTCCAATTATTTATTTATCACAAGAAGAAGCGGAAGATTATTTGAAAAACTTTTTAATGTATAAAGAGTTATATAATACAATCAAGAAGCAAGGATTAGAGGATAAAATTATTGATAAACAACGGGATGAATTATTTGAAACACTTTCTATTTCAAATTTTGATAAAGAATTTTTGCATTCACTCATTTTTCTAGATGATGCCGTGAAATCAAAACTAATAACTAATGAGAAATCATATTTTAATCAGTTATTAACTCAATGTCGACACATTCAGTGTTCATTCTTCATGGCTGTTCAATACTTCAAAGCATTAAGCACAAACATTAAATCAAACCTGTCCACCCTTTTCATTTTCAGTGGTTTTAGTCGTCAACAGTTGAACGTTATGCTTTATCAAGTGAATTTACCAATGAGCATTAATGAACTTTACACACAATATCAACAATTAGGAGAACATGGAAAAATAATAGTTGATTTAAATAAAGGTTCCATTAAATTCGAATAACTTTTTATAATTAATTTTTATTTTTTATTTATAATTAAACATGACAGAAATAGCAAATCTTCTACAGGTTCCATTAAAACAAGGAACAAACAAAAAGGGTGCATATAATAGAACTATGAAAGTTCCTGATGGAATGAAAGAATTAGTCCACATTGTTGCCGGTCTTCAAAAGGATGTTAAACAAATGAGAAACGTTTTAACATTACCAGAAGCTCAAGCATATGCCAAACGTCAAGGTCCAAATTGGGAAGCACATGAAGCAGACATTACGGGTCCAAATGGAAAACCTGATGGTATAAATGAAGTTTTCGTTACTGATGGTCAAGGAAATATTAAAGTCATAAATGGGTATAAATTAACAATGACGGATTATCCTAAACGTAAAGCATATAATGAACGTTATCCTATGCAATTTGATGAAAATGGAAAAGCTGTTAAACAATACATTGGAGAAGGTGAAAATGGTCCAATTAATTCATACCGTCATAATCCATATTCTTACTTCAATGAAGAATTAAATGCTATTGAAGAGGGACCGGATGGATTACCACGATATTCTAACCAGTTTGATGGTCAATATGCAAATTTGAGATCTGAAATTCCAGCTAAGAAATTCTTTAAAGTTGCTTTATTCGATCCAGTTTTCGCAAATGTTAAAGATGAACTTAAACAACAATTCCAACCAATTATAGTAGCAAGAATTGCATCAGGTGCTTTATCTCAAGCATTCAAAGATTTAATTAAGAAACCATTATATCAGCAACGAGGTTTAACTTATGATTTAGTTAAGGAATCGGATAAAAGAAAATTTGAGAAATCAAATGATTATAAGAATGCAATTAATGAATATATTCGGTCTATTAATTTCGATGAAAATGCTAAAAATCAACTTCATGAACAAATACAGGAAATAATAGATTCAAAAGTTCCAGCAAAATAAAAGTTTAAATATATTTTTTTTATTCGAATATAAATGAGAAGACGTTTCACTAGTCAAAAGAACACTAACGCAAAAGCAGAGATTACGGTTGGTTATAACGTAAATGATGATAAATCACGAATTATTCAAAATGTTAAAGTTAATGTTAGTCCTGAATTAACAAGGTCAGCAACTCAACCAAATTTATTAACTCGTGACTTACCGAAGAATGAGGAGGAGCAAAATAAAGAAGATGGAGACCCAATCATTTTATCTGAACCCGGTAAAGAACCCGTTGAAATCCCCACTTATCCAACATACCCAGCACCTCTTTCATCAAACATCGAGAACCCAGGAATTTACGATTCCAGTCGCAATGCGCCATATAAAATAGACATTAATTCTGAATTAATGAAAATATATCGTGATATCATAACTGATAATTATGATTCAATAATAAATTTAATTGACCAATCCGGTTTAATTATTTTACCTTATGAATCATTAATTCACATTATCGCCATTCTTTGTGATGTTCAAGATTCAGACGTGAAGATTCAATTTTTCATAGATGATGAGGTTTCATGCTGCGGAACAGTTGCAAAAATAAATCCTATAAAGGATATTAGCACAATTAAGATATCAAAGAACGGAACAACAACTGAACTTCATTTAACATATAATGATATTTATAATAAAATAGTTGATGAATATAAAATATCACTTGAAAAATTCTTTGTTAAGGCTATTTAATATTCAAGCATTAACATTATCGAATAATAATCCTTTGAATCATAATCGATAATAATTGACCTTTCACCAGTTTCTATCGTTTGTTTTATTTCTTTTTGTTCCCCACTATCCGGATCAGTCATTGTAATTGTTTTTGTTATAGTATCTGCTTTATCTTTAACTTCAATCTTTTTTCCATCGGGATATTTAAACCAAAATTCCAAAAATTCGATATTGTCAATCTGTTCATATTTTAATCTATCAATTACATTTTTAATACCATCTGAAAATCTTATGAAATGGTCATTATATGGGTTTGATTGAACTAAATTTGAATGAAGTGAAATATAACCTGATGATGAATATGACATCGACTCATATTTTCTGAAAACACTAAAATTTATAACATGAATGAATTTCTTATTCGTTGAATTTATGAATTCTTGAGGTAATCTTATTCTAGTTTTATTTATCACTGGAAAATAACGCTTTACCATATTTTTAATCGTAATAAAAATGTCAATTATCAATATTATTTCGAATAATTGTTGTGAATTAAATTTAACAGTTAGTGGAATTTATAATGTTACTCTCGTTTCTGTGAGTGGTAAATTTAATCCCATTCTTTTAGACCCTTCAGATTATATATCATTTATTAAAGATGACCATGAAAAAACGTATGATATGTATATAAATAATGTGATAGTGAGGGGGGATATTAACACAATTTTAAGTTATTTAAATGAATCATTTATCGTATGGTATGAAGAAAATTTTAAATCAAAACCTGATAAACTTTTTGAACTTGATGAAATAAATAACCTTATTAAATTTCCGCTGAAAATTAAATTTTGTACTCCTCGTCTTCGTTCATTGTTGGGGATATTAAATTTTGAAAAAGATGTTGGGGATGTTTTGTATTCTGACACTGGTTCTAATTTCATTTTAATCAAATGTGATAAAGTTAATACCCCAATGAGATTTTCACATCAAACATTAGACCCTAACTCTTACCCATCAATACAAAACATTTTATCCATCAACTTAAACACATTTTCTTTATCATATCCATTTCAATTATCCGGGAATTCATTTATTCTTCATTCAAAAGATTTATCAAATATTAAATTTAGAATAACTGACCTATTTGATTGTGATTTAGAATTTATGAATGAAATATTATGGCAATTTCAAATAGAAAAAATAGCTGATGAGATAACAGATTAAATATTTATTTTTAAATCGTAATAAATGATTAAACAACAGCAACCACAGACCATTACATACGCCACATATGCATATAATTCAAAGACGGCAGAACAAACGCAAAGGTTGAAATATGGAGATTTGGAGATAGTATTGAAAAATGACCATTTTGAATTCGTTTGCAAAGGTGGTGCAGTGATATCAAATATAAAAGAAATTTTATTTATGAATTCTAAAATTAAAGGAATAACGGATGATATAACATCAATTCCACCAGAAGAACAAAGATATTACGCATTAAATGCATTTCCTAAAGTTTTGAAGATTGGAAGATTTAATTTAAATGAGGAATTCATAAAAGGTTTCCTAAATGACATAATGAAGAAAGCAAATTTGGTTTATGTTGATGAAAAAGATAATGAAATTATAGAAAGGGTTGATAGTGAATTAATGAAGAAAGCAAATTTGGTTTATGTTGATGAAAAAGATAATGAAATTATAGAAAGGGTTGAATGGTATCATGAACGGACATCGAAGATTTTAGAAGGTAAAGCCAATACAGGGTGGGTTTCAGGATGTTTAGACCTTAAAGCAGATAAGGAATATGTTAACGATGAGTTAAATAAGAAGGCAGATAAAACATATGTTAACGATGAGTTAGGGAAGAAGGCAGATAAGGAATATGTTAACGATGAGTTAAATAAGAAGGCAGATAAAACATATGTTAACGATGAGTTAGGGAAGAAGGCAGATAAGGAATATGTTAACGATGAGTTAAATAAGAAGGCAGATAAAACATATGTTAACGAAATATACCAAAGTTTGATAGGAACAAAAAATATTGAAACTATTGTTGGTGACTTTTCTGTTAATGAAGAAAATAAATATTTTAGATGGGTGTTTGTACAGTCCTTAAGAAATGGTATACGGTGGAAACTCATTCCGAAAAATAACAATGAAATGTATGTAAGTTATAAAAAGAATGATGGCACACAAGTTAAAGTTCCATTAGACAACAACTGCTACTTAAACTTATATGGAGACGAACAAAAGAAATATTTAAGAGTTTATGAAATGGTAGATATGACATTGCCTGACCCAGCTCCAGCACCATATTATTATGACTATGGTGTTGACGAAAGAATACTACACGCAGATGAACAAAAGCAAACATTATATTTAGATTTTTATAGATATAAAAGATATAATGCAATAGAAAAAACGAGAATAGTATATTATTATACAGATGACAGAAATAAATATTATAGTCAAGATTTTACCTACCCTGAAAACATAAGATTATATTATAAAAAATATTCTAACACAAACCGGAAGAAACCTGAAATAGTTACACTATATTTTAAGTTCAAAAGAGACAATCCTATAATATCTCATATGTTTGATTTAATGAACCCAGTAGGTTCTATTTATACATCTATGGATGCAAGAGGTCCTCAAGTAATGTTTGGTGTTGGTGCATGGGAACAAATAGTTGACAGGTTTTTGTATTGTGCAAACTCTTCAAAGGAAACCGGTGGAAGTAAAACGATTTCAGGTGAAAATTTACCTGCACATAGTCACTACGTAGATTTAAGCACATCTCAAGCGGGTTGGCATAAGCATAGATATTGGGATTGGTCAGGAATGACAAAAGGTAAAGGATATGATGTTAAAGATGACGTTAAATTTGCTATTAATTGTTACTGGGATGACACTCAGGGAGAAGGAAACCATACACATAATGTTTCAGGATATACACAAACGACGGGACAAAGTAAAGATTACATGCCACCTTACATGACAGTTTATGCATGGTATAGAGTTCAATGAACGCTCAATGTTTGTGAAACAAACTTTAGGAGCTCCAAAAGAGTGAACGGCATAATTTAAATTTTTATTTTTATCATAAATGAATACCCCACAAGCTCAAAATTTACCACGAATCATAACAAGGGAGGAAATGATAAAAATGATGCAAGAACATGTTAAAAATAACAAACCACTAAAATTGAGAAAATGTGGTTATGCAGTAATGATGGAAAGAGAGATGTTGTCGAAGAGGAATAAAAATTAAATTTGGATAGAGTTTAAAAATTCATCTTTATTAAATTCATCTCTTCCAATCAATTTATTTATTCTATTAAATTCTTTTATTTTTGCTTCACTCAGTTTAAGGATTGAACGGTAAGTTTCTAATTTTTCGATTATTTCTTTATCGTTTTCAACCTCACCACATTGCAGCTTCTTTTTGTAATAGCATATTTTTGATTTAATTCTGTTTAGTTTCTTTTTATATTCATCGTCTGGACTCTTGACTGCTTCGTTGTTACTCATTTCTTACGAAATAAAAAAATTAAATATTATTTAAATATAATGGAGTAATAAAATAAATCGGAATTTCTATTAATTTATTGTCAACTTCAACTAATGCATTGCCGTTAATATATCTAACAAATTCAGCTATTGTGTCAAATCTTCGTCTTCTTTTTGTCATTGATTTATCAGTTTTTCCATAATCGAGATGAATCAAAACTTTATCCCCTTGTTTAAAATTCATGAGCCCCGAATTAATTTGTTCACGTTTAACATCATTCAACCTTTCCATTTGCTTTCTAATATATTCCCATTCTTTTGAAATATCATTTTTCATTTCCACTGGTTTCATGTTAATAGTTCTATGCCATGTATTATTGTAATAATATACTAACTGCTGTATGATGGAGTCATGATTTCCATCCCAGTATATCTGACCGTTAACCCCTAACGCATCTCGAAGAGTTCTCATTACCGCATCAACTATTTTATTATGAAACGTATATGGAGAGGATGAGAAGTAAAAATTAATTTGTGGGAAATAATGAGTCATGGCTGCCTGAAATCCTTTATCACCATCACCCCTTATATTATCTACTCTTTCATGATCTAGTAAGTATTGAATAGCTCTTCTTGTTTCCTGTTCTGTTTTCCCTTTCACTGGAATGCAATATAAATATCTAGTGTTAATGTTAATGGCAAATAAATAAGTAATATTTCCTTTTGAATATTCCAGATGATCGATTTCGTATGAATAAGGTGAAGGTGCAAATGAAGGGCGACTAAATTTTTCCTTTAACGGTTGAATTTTTGGGTCAGTTGGTTTATTTAATATCTTGAAATCCTTTTTAAAATCTTTTTGCTTCTTTAATGTTTGAAATGGATATAATAAAGTGAATGATGAAGGATTAACTGAAGGAGGAGGTACTACCGTTGGAGGTTTTGGTGTTGCAAGTGGTTTAATTTTATCTGCTTTGATTTTGGATTTCATTCCTCCCTTCATTAATTCCGGATGTATTCTATTCATTTGTTTTAAATATGCTGTATATAAAGGTTTGATATACTTTCCCGCTTCGAGTTTATGTTGAAGGATGAATTCCAAAAGTTGATCTTCATTTAAAAGTCGGGCTGAATGTGGTTTAACTAATGAATCATAAATTAAAGCTTGTGCATCATTTATGAGCTGCTGAACCTGGGTGTTTTGCACCTTTTGTTTTTGTTCCTTTGGTTTTTGCGGCTCAGGATTATATAATTTATATAATTCATCAATATCTTCTTCTGTTAATACTTTATTTTTGAAATCTTTCAACTGTTTAAGTTGTGATTTAGTTTTTCCCTTTGAATATTTTTCTTCTTTAATGTTCTCTCTTAAACGTTTAATTATTTTATCATGATATTTCAAAATTTCGTTTTTATAATACTGATAGTATTCACCCATATCATCACCTGTAATTGTTTCATCATATTTTTGGAGATATGATTTTAATTCATAATAACTAAGAAATTTTTGATTAAGTACTAAATCATCAATTAAATTTTCTAAATCTGCATTATCCATTTATATAAAAATAAAATAAATGTTTAAGGGTGCCCACCTCTTTGTCTCTTCTATGACATTTCATTAAATAAATGGCATACAACATCCATTTTCACAACATACAGCCTTAGTGTGTGCTCCTGTTAATGCAGTCTTACCAATTGTTAAGCGAGTCATTGACCCATTTTTAAGTTGTAAATTAATATTCTGACCATCGAAAATGACTTTATCATTTATTATATCCAAATAATTTTTAGGTGTTAATTGTTTATTTTGTCGTAAACTTACACCTTTCATTTTTTGTGCAATCTTTTTAAAATCACTTCCATCAATCATTCCGTTGAATGATGTATAACACTTAGGGCATAAAGCAACCATGTTATCACCTTGTTTCTCAATTGCTAAACCCAATAATTTTTTCTCATGTGCTTTTTCTTCAGCTTTATTCTTTAATTTAGGTTTAAATTTCTCATCAAAACAGAAGAAATCAAAAGGTGCGAATTTGAAAATGTTTTTATCATAAAATTTTTTATCGGTTACAATTGCTTGAAATGCTTGAGTGTTAGGAAGATTTAGGTCGCCAGCGATTGCCCAATAAGATGAATCAGTATCACCTTCAATGAAATGAAAACGATTAACATCCAAGCATTTATACATAAAATCATAAATGAAAACCAAATACCAGTATTTAGCATTATCTAAAGTGAAGAATGCCTCTTGTAAACATGTATCACATCTATAAAATCTATCTTTGAGCATCACTTGATACGTATCCTCTCCTATTTCTCTTATGTTTTTAAACTTATTTGACATACATGCAACGCGTGCCTTCTGTGCATTCATTATTTTAGTCTTTGCGTAATTTTGTGTATTCATTGCATCGTAACCATATGATCCATTAAGTGAAATCTTGCAAAATAAACTTTTTCCTTTATTTCCTTCTAATTCAGCCTTTTGTCTTTCGTTCATAAATTCGTTCGCAAATTCATTAAAGCAAGTGTTTTTCGTAAATGTTAAAATTGATTGAATATCATCGATGATAAAATGAAATCTGTCTATTAGATACCATAGATAATAAGAAGAAAATGGTTGATATTGGTTGTGTGTTGATGCTAACTGAGTTAATTTTCTCTGTTTCTGGTCAACTGGTAGATTGTTTGATTTCATGTAATTATACATAAAACTACCAATTGTTTTTTCATCTGTGATAATATCTAAGTTTCTTATTATCGGTAAAAAGTTTATGTAATCATTAATGTATTTTTCATCAATGTGACCCTTTACTTCAGCCACGAATAAAGTATTTTTCTTCTTAATTATTCCCAGTGCTTTTGCTTTCTTTGTTGCTGTATCACAAATGATAACACCATTCAATCTTCCCGGCATATACATTTTATGGTCAGTATATTGAATGAAATCATGAGGATTAGATGAAAATGATGAAGGATATAATGAATTGAAATCAACTCCAACGAAATGAGTCATAATGTTGGAAGTGTCCTCATTTGATACAGTTTTAGTTTCTGGATTATATGAAAGTTTATTAATGTGCGTGATTCCTTTAAGATTAACACGATGTTGAACATTTGATAAACCACCAGTAATTCCATTACGGAGAATGTGATAAGCTTCAACTGAATCTAAGGTCATTGGTAAATTATTTTTTAATGCATAATTTCTTAAATTAATTCTTAAACGTTGAACTTCTTCATCTTTATTTGATTTTACGACATTGCAATAACAACACATTAACTGACAATTTTCTTTGGTATGTGGTTTTTCATTATCGATTCTATCCAATGTTGGTTTATTTGCATATGTAAACGCTTTACCACACATTTTACATTTAGATGAAAGGATTAAATCGTGATAGTATTGAAAATCATCCATTGAAACATTGTTTTTAGTATCTCTTTCTGCTTTTTCATCTTGTTTCTTATATGATTCAATTTTATATTTCCAATACTTTTTTGTTAATTCAAAACTTGATTCCACATTTTCTTCTGGATATGTTTCATTAGGATTAAAGTCTTTATATGCTAAAGCGTAACGAATCATTGATGCATTAGATGATAATGAAAGATTATGAAGCATGTCAATTTTATAAACAAATGTTTCTTCAATAATTTTATCAATTGGGTCAATCATAATTTCAACGTCTTTATTGCAATAATGAATAAAATATTCTAATCTATTCTTAAAGTTTTTAGCATCATTGAGATATATTTGATAATCACTATCTGATATAGTTTCTTGAGTTAATGCTGAATAAAATGAATCTTGAGTGAATGGTTCCACTTTATATAATTCTTCTTCGTAATTCTCCCATGTGATGAATTGATAAGGGAAAAAGGATTTAACACGTGTTTTATTATTTCCGAAATCTTGAGTGAATTGGTCTAATGTTCCACCCGCTATATAATTTCTGATGTCAATAAATCTCAATTCATATGGAACGTTTGTTTTCTTTACAATGATTTGCTTAAATTGAGAAGATGAACCCAGCATTGATTTTATTTTCCATTTTGCAGTGTTTAAATCACGAAGAATTAAATTTAAATCAAACTTTCCCGAATTAAAACCAATGATATTCACTTTATTAAATTCTTCATCTAAAAGCTCTTTCATTGCTTCCTTTTGTTTCTCATTTAATGTATGGGACTTCATTAATTCTTCATATTGTTCAATATTTGATTTAGCAACTAATGAACAGGTTGAAAATAAAAACTCAATCCAATCAGAGATGAACGAATCACTCGAAGTTAAGCAAAAATTCCTCGTATATGTTTTATCGTTTAATTTAACCGTTGATGATACCATGAATGGTTTTAAGTAAGCGTTCAAAGTTGCACACTCAGAAAGTTGTAATTCTTCTTTAGTCTCTAATGTTTCGAAGTCAAAAGTAATATAATATCTTGTCGGTTGATAATATTCCTGCAAATTATGTGCTAATAGCCATTGATATATCTTCTGTTTCGTGATATGTGGTGCATATGGTTGTTGTGTGTTTTGCAATTGAACGTCTTGAATTAATCTTCCATTATTTTCTTTACATTTCTCACAATGCTTTAAAAATCTTCTTTGGTTTTTCCTTTCTGGATCATCACGGATAGAATAAACCTCTTCTTTGCAAAAGGGGCAAACTCTATAACCGGTGAGTGCTTCAACGTCTGTAATTCTGTCAGCGTGAAGTTTTCCACATGGACTCTGTGTTAATAAAATATTTACTGTTTCAAATTCTGGATCTATCATTATTGATTCCACTAATGGAAAGTCTACCTTATTTATGTCCACGTCTTCTGGTTGAGGATCACAATAATAGAAATCAATATTAACGTTTAACATTCTCGCTAATCTCTCACTTTCTGATGAAATGTCAAACCCTTCATATGCATCTATTGCTTCATTTAAATAACTTCTTCGAGTTTTAGGATTAACACCATCAGGAATGTTATAGAAGCGTTTAAATAACCTTCTACCTTCTGCTCTAATTTGATTATCATTCATTTTAGCTGTTCCGTTTTTGTTCATTTATGTAAGAATAAAAAATTAAAAAATAAATAAAAATAAAGTTTATTTTTTAAAGTCCGAGACTCAGAGAGTCCAGGGCTAAAGCCCATAAAATGAATTAAGAACACATAAATTTTTATCATCTGCGACGTGACGAATACATTTTAATTTACTCAAGAATGCGTACCCTGATACATTAAATCTAATTCCTGTCTTATTTAATTTCACAACTTTGAAAAGGAATGTATGAATAGCTATAAAATGATGAGATGATGTTTTATGGGTTGTTTCCATTTTTTCTGAAATAAATGAATAAATATAATGTTTATAAGTTTTCATATCTTTTATGTTCTTAATAACGAATGGTATAGACCTTTCACTTCGTCTTCCTTCGGTGCTGTTCTTTCATATGAAACATTATTGGTATCTTCAATAATGAAACCACAATCGCATAAAATTTTATATGTACCAATGGTTTCTTTTGATATTTTATCTAATAAATCAAAAACTTTATCAACACCTGTGCATTTATTTAAATAATAATTTGTGTAAATATCATGATCTTCTTTCTTAATCGTATTAGTTGCATATGTCACGTTTTTAAGAGCTTTTTTGAATTTTTCGGAATCTAAAGGTGGTGAAAGTAAGATACAGGGGTATTCTTCATTATCAATAAATTGTAACTTATGTTTACGAATAAATTTAGTACCTTCTTCTGAAAGTGTTTCGTCTATTTCACCATCTAATAAATTTTGTGTTGATTCTGAGACATAATTTTTATATCTTTCTTCATGAGATTTCTGAAGTGCTGATTCTGAAGCTGGGATATTCATTAAACCCTCTACTTCATTTTCATTATATTTTTCAACTTCTCTTAATTCCTTAATTTTTTCATCTATTTCATCTCTTATTTTTTCCAGTCTTTCAATTTCATCATATTCATCATCATCTTTAATCCGTTCTTCATAATATTCGGGGAAAACATCGGGTTCTTTAGTTTTTCTTCTTCAGATGTGGGATATAAGAAATTTATAACATCATCTTTATTCATTTTTCCATCATAATCAAATTCATTTAAAAATTCCGCGAATTTTTGACAATTTCTTAAATAATATTTATCAACCTCATAACCCGCCTCATCTAATATATCCTTTATTTCCTCGTTTGTGAATCCCAATTTTTTAACGTCGTTAGTCTTGACGCTCATTTCATACAAAATAAAAAAATAAATTATTCAAAAATGTAAGACATGAATTTTTAAAGTTTATTTTTCATTCATGAATGATAATTATTTCTAATTTCTTTTACTCTCTCGTATATACTAGATTTAAAGAATTCAGAACATTTCCCATAATCTCCTAAATGTTTTCTTATCTTATTGGTTTTCCATTCATTATATGAAACTGAATAAACTTTATCTTTATCTTTACACCTTTCATCACTTCCAATATATTTATATTTCAATTTTGATTTATTGGTTTCATATTCATTAGCGTTTAATAATTCACAGTCTTCCTTTTTAAATAAATGTTTTATGTATTCAGGATTAACAATTCTATAATATTGCTTCCCTTTAAATCTTTGAATATAAACAGGAACACCATCCTCTAAAATTCGATAATCTATTTTATCCAGTTTTACTTGTTGGGTCATTTATGTAAGAATAAAAAAATAAATTATTTTTAAAAATAATATGTTAAAAAAATGATACAAAATCGCTCGATATTGTATGAATTCTTACGTTTACAAAAAAAGTCACAAAACCCATCCTATCCTACTACTTTTTATAAATAATCCAACCACATAATCTACAATAGAGAAAATTATTGTTATACTCATAAAGATCTTAAGTGACTGCTTAATAGCAAAAAATCAAGAAAATAAGATCAAAAATTTACTCCACAATCAAATTTTTATCTTATTATTTCTTTGATTAGAATCAAAACTCAAATATATTATGGGTTATATAGTAAAAAGGTAAAAATCAATAAGTAAATTTCGATAACGCTGTTTATTATCTAAAAGAGTCGCTAAATCAAAGGATAGATAAAATTTATAAACAAAATAATATAATAACAGTCTATATATTACATATTATAGTAAACTTGTTCAAGTTCGTGGTCGGAATCAGAGTTGTCGTATCCATTATCAATGAGATACTGCAACACATCTCTTCTTCTCCTTAAAACCGCACGTTCCATAAATGAATCATTGTAAACTCCGCTTTCAATAATATATTTGACCAAAAAAGTATTTCTGCAGCGGAGACAGAGGTCAAAATCGAGTTCTACTTCATCATTTTGCTCAATGATCCAGATGGCAATCTCATTTCGATGGCAAATGATTGCATCTTTTATGTATTTGGCAAAAGAGAAGCCTTCCTGGCTGATGAGCTCTGCAATTTCGATATTGCCACCGTAAATTGACCTCTTAACTGTTTCTTCTGTGATCTTGAACCCATTTACGTACAAAAATCTGAAAACGTTGTAGCTTCCAAAATAAGCAGCAGCGTCAATTAGCGAGAATATTTCGGCTGTCCAGCTATCAGCTTCACAGAAACTGACCTTGAGGTCGAAGAATTTCGGGGACAGCGAAAATTCGATAACTGAATCGACATCATCGTGGATAATAGCGTAGCCTATCGATCCCTCTGGGAAAATGTTTAAAGAAAGATTAAATGTTTCGTCTGTAGATTCAATATTTCTAAGGTAAATTTGCATATCAAAGTTTAAAAGCAATCTGTTAAACTTTGGTAAGGCTTTGATAACGTTGGCGAACTGCTCGTACGAAAATCTGCGTTGGTTGATCGCTGCAGGAAGGATTGAGTTGATATGATCCTTTAAATTGTCCCATTTATCGGATATTTCAGCTGCGACCTCGTTTGAATCATAGTTGCTGATGTTGAAGAGACATTCTTCTAATGAGATGACATCATCGATGCTTGGTGATTGCATTTATTATAATGATATCTTAAAACCGCTGATTTTGCAATTTTATTTTTTCAAAACCACAATGGCCAACTTTCATCTCAATTTATAAAATTTTGTCAGAAAAAATTCAATGAAAATTCGAACTATCGGTGATTGTACAAAGGAAAATATAATCATTATTACTGATAAGCTCTCATTATTATTGAAAATAAAAGTCATTCAATTGAATCTGTGGTTTTCATAAAATATTGATTGAGTATAATTTGGCTATGACTCGAAACTGTTTATTTGTATGTTTGAGCTATATATATGTGGTTTTGGTTTCTATGGAGAATTAAAACGATATTACAAAATGTTGCACGGAAATCAGATTTAAATAATACACTATATTTGCAAAACAAATGATGCAGAAAGTTGGTGTTTGATGCTGGTTTTACCTAAATGATAATTTTATTTTATGCAATTATCAAGAATTAAATATAAAACAATATCAGTTGATGGATTTATAGTTGGATCTTGCATGTTATTTTAGTTCTGGGTATAATATTGGAAGCATAAAATGATGAAGGTTATTTTTATTATAATAAATATAGGATACTGGATTTGTAAATCATTTTTGAAATTTCATTAATCAAAATGATCTTATTATATTTTCTTGGGGAAAAACATTTTATTTCAGGTAACTCACCAAAATAACTCGAGATGACTCTATTCAAACAAAAAGTAATCATTTAGCAATAAAAATTTATGCTGAAGCAATAAACTCCTTTTTAAAAGAGATTAGTGAAGATATAATTGTGAAAACACATTTCCGGAAATTGAACATTTAAAATATACAATAGCTAATTATTTGTGGAAATATGTAAATTTTAGATGCCACACAAGACTATTTTCAAATAAAATCTTGAGTATTAAAGAAATTTTCGGAACATTTCGAAGAAAATAACCCCATTTGGAAAATCTCAGAATAGGAACTATTGAACACAAGGAAACAAGTTAGGAAGGCACAGAACGTATACGAAAAAATATGAGTCACCGAAGAATAAAAGTTTCAAAAATATAAAATATGGCACTTCAGAAAAGAATATAATTAATGTCATATTTCTTAAATATCTTATTTTGATAAAGAGAACTTGTTACGACAGATAAACTTGAGTCTGACCCATTTCAAAATGTTGTTCTCTCAAATAAAACATTCAAATCAAATATTCCAATCATGCTAAATGCAGCCCAAATTCAAAGATGTCATTTCAAAGAAAATTATTCTCTGAAATACATTCAGAATAAACTCGTTTAAAAAATTGATTTAATACTCTATACATATTTTGCTTCCCAAATACATCTTAATTTTTTTGAATGCTGTTCAAATGTATCAACTGATTTCCTCTCAATTTATTTAATTTCCTCAATTTTATATAAAATTATCAAAAATGGAGAATTATATTAAGTGAAGGTTTCTTTAAATGTTAGGTTGGAATTAATTTGAGAGCGGAGTTTGCAATTTTGATTACCGCGTGAGCAATTTTAAGATGTTTTATCTATTTGTAGCGTGGTGGCTTAAAAATTCGGGAAATGATGAATACGGTGGCTTAGATGGTGAAGATATCAACTGGTCTGGGCATGCATATTACGATAAATACACAGGGAAAGGAATCACAATTGCCGTAATGTCTGATGGAGCGCTTTTCGATCATGTTGCATACAAAGATAGAGCAATCAAAGATCAGTTTATTAATATTTATACAAATGAAATCATGTTGACAACGAATTCATCACATAACATCGCAACTGCATCATTAGCTCTAGCAGCAGGGAAAAGAGGTACAGAATTTGAAGGTGTTGCTCCAGGAGCAAATGTTGCATCTTATTTTTTCACAAACTATTCCATGCAAGCAGAACACCTTCAAACTGTGATGTGCCATCAGAGTTTGAAGTGGAATATATCAATCCTTCAATATCTTTACATTGAGAAACCGAATGGATACGTTCAATACGTTCAACCAGAAGTAATTCCTAAGGAAATTGCAGATGATTGTTTATATCATCCACAAGAAGGAAATTGGCCACATCCAATAGTGGTTCCAGCAGGAACTTTCTGCGCATCTGATCCTATTATGAGTCCACCTTCAGGTTGGCCACTAGTTTTTACAATTAGCGGTGTTACTAACAGAGGTCTTTCTTTATATCGTTCTGCTGAAGGTGCAAGTGTCTTTATGGTTGCTCCTGCTGCTGGAAATGCTCCTATTTTTACAGCTTCGCCAAAATCTACTAATTCAACAAATAAGAACTTCACATCGACTAACGCAAGTGCAGCGATATTCGCAGGTGGACTTGCTGTTTTATTAGAAGCAAATCCAAACCTAACATTATCTGATCTGTTTTATATTACTGCGTTTTCTGCAGATAAAGTAAATCCAAACACGATAATTTGGGACAAAAATGGAATACAACTTAATTATAATAGAAGATCGGGCTTTGGAAGGTTGAATCTGGGTAGAGCTGTTGATATCGCATTAAATTGGACATCAACTGGGAAATTTTATGAATACAAAGTTGAAAAAACTTTAAATTTAATTATTGAAGACCGTGAGCACAACGTTACTTTTGATTTCACAGAAAGAAGTGCGAAATCTGTTTTATGCGTCAGTTTATTCTTCAAATCGAAGAAATTATCATTTGGGTCGTTAAATCCACACATTATTAGTCCAAATGGAACAAGGTGTGAAATGAAAATATTAACAGAGGCAGACTTAACTTCAACAATAAACTCAGTTGAATTAATGGGATATAAATTCTTAGGTGAAAATCCAATAGGAAAATGGACAGTTTCATTTAGAGTCGCAGACAATGCATATCATGGAACAATAGAGAGCTTAGGTCTTAAGTTCTTCTATAACAAAATAGCTCCAGATATCTCTTTGATAAATCAAAGAATTGTTGCCATTCACCATTCGAAGCAAATGTCTCCAAAATTACATTCAAAAGAAAAAATTTATCTATTTGCAGCAACAGCTGCTGGGGTCAGAGTAAATGTAAGTGAAGATGTAAAAGACGCATACTACACAGTTTGGCTTGCTTCACCGGATGGAAATGATAGGATTCTTATTAATGCTAGTTTTAATGAGAAATTCGATTTGTTAAAAATAGAATATACTCCTAGTGTTTTCAGGGATAAACTTGATATGATACTTATTATTGATTCCATGGATCCTAAGTGCATCTTTTCATCAAATGTTTCAGTTGACTATAGTAATACTTTGGATGTTGGCTTATCCAATCCACCAAATGGAACAGTATACAAAACTGCAGATACTGACATATATATTGAATATGTTCTGCATCTTGATAGAATCATTTATGATGGATTTTCTAACAATCGCTGCAACTATTATATCTCCTGATAGCAAGGCCATTCTAAATAGAGAATGGATCAGAAACACAGGAAATAGGTGGCTTATTAACATGATTCCTTCAACAAAGAAGTTTTATTTACAAATATCACCTACTTCAACTGAAAGACAAGAATATATCCATCCTATGACGATTAATTTATTTGTTGTTGAACAAGATGGCAAATATAGGCCCGATGCATTAACTCCTGTTCAAATTACTGAGATTGTGTTAGGTATTGTATTATTTGTTCTGTTATTGTGTTTCGGGATCTACAGATCTATTGTTTTGTTTTGCACCAAGAAATCATCAATTCATTTTGAATAAAGAAATCATGAGAATCTTTATATATTTTCCATTAATAGTATATTAGTTAATAGATGCATCAATACAGAAAATCTTACCTTAGTGATAAATCAATGATTCAAAGAATGAATGATTAGATTTCATTCAATTAAGTTCAAAAAAGATGGAAAACCAGTGATAAAGTGTTATACATCAGCTTTATCTGCATTATGTTCGTTTAACTCAGTTATAACGTCGACGGTAATCTCAATTTCTCACTTTAAAGGATTATCCATTTTATTCACTGCAAAATGCCTTATTTGATCTCAAAAAGCGAGTTTAATGATGTTTTATTTTTCGAGCAAAAAATTCGAAGAGAATCAAATCAAAAAAAGTGACTACGGGATTTTGAGGATATCGGAATTGTGAACTTTACATTAAAAGTTCTCCAGAATTTGTATTCATGCTTGGAGTAGATCTTGGAGGTTCATTTACAAAAATGTGCTTTATTGGAAAAGATGGAAATAAGCAACTATTCTGCATCCCAACATTAATTGAAGAAATCAAAAATTTCTTTCAAACAGATGAAAACGGCGAATTAAAAATCGAACAAATTCATGAGAAAATCGAGAAAATATGCATAACTGGTGGTGGATCCGTTAAATTCCGTGAATTTTTCGAGCAAATTAAACCAAAACCTGTCAAACTCGATGAACTAGGAACACAAGCTTTTGGAGCTGCTCATTTACTTAAAGACCGAAGCAATGTTAAAATTTTGGGCCCTCAAATAGAAGATTTAATTCCTTGTATCATTATTTCAATGGGAACAGGCGTTTCATACTCTGCCCTATCGATTGATAATAAGGTGAAACATGTAGGTGGCTCACCGCTAGGAGGTGGAACCTTACTTGGCTTAGCAAATTTACTGATTCAAGTAAATAACTTCGATGAAATACTTAGATTAGCTAATATTGGCAAAACATCTACATTGGACTTACTTATCTCAGACATTTATGGTCAAAATTACGGAAATACTTTATTATCTGATGTTTGCGCTTCTTCTTTTGCCAAAGCATCAATAGAACATAAAACTGCTCCTAAAGAAGATATAGCTGCATCACTCCTTTCTGCAATTTGTTATTCTATTGCAGGTGGAGCTGCAACTGTTGCTAGAGCAGAGAAAGTAACATCTCTTGTTTTTGTCGGTGGTTTCCTCTCAATGGAGGGAAGTATCCCTGATTCATTATATAAGTCAGCTTCTTTGTTTAACAAAGAAATCTCATTAATTTTCCCAGAGAATCATAGATATGCAGGAGCAATTGGTGCAGCCTTGCGAGCATCAGAACTCC